CTTTTTGAAGCCCCACGTGACTCACTGTTTTCTAGAGATGTTAAGATTCACCGATTCGCATCGGTGCACTGGCATAAACGTTCAAGATGCGAGTGCACGAGTTAAATCACTCAGTGAGGTGTTCTGTCAGTGAGAGTGGTGTTTCCTTTACAGCAGCCTGTGACGGCCAATCATAGTTTAAACGTCTTCCTTACTGTAAGCAGTTATGATAGAGCTGCTTGTGAAAGGTTATTCTTTATTGTTCCTATAGAAACCACTGCTTTCTGCTCACTGGTGAGTTAGCCGATGGATGAGTGTTAAGCATATCAGGCTGGCAGCTGTATGGGCATTGCACTATGGTAGTTGTTATTTGCATATTGTTAATCAGGGGCAATGCATCCTTAAATAGTTTAACTGTGAGGTGTTATACAATTGTACTGTACTCTGGAGAGTTTTTTAAGGTAAAAAAGGGGAAAAAGCATGATGGGATGCGCAGTACTAGTAGAGAGAATCAAATATGTAAAGCACTTTTTTGTTAATGTATGATTTGCTGCATATAAGGAATAAAACAAAAATCCTCTGTCGTACCATATTGAAGTATCATTATTTTGCATCGTGTTGAATCGCATCGTATCGCCCCGAATCGCATAATGTTGAATCAAATCGTATCGAACAGTATCGCAACAGGGGTGTATCGTATCGTATCGCATCGCATCGCCTGGTCTTTGAAATGTATCGTATCGTGGCAACGTATCGAGATGCGCATCCATAGGCCTCAGTGATGGAGATGCACATCCCTGCTGTTTTCTGACGGATCTGTTTTTTTCCCTGCAGGATGTTTCAACCTGGACCCTAATCGTGTCCTGGACATAATCCTAGAGGTGTACGAGAGCCGATCTGACCAGGATGAGTTCTTCCTGTCTCTCATCAAGTCCTACATGTGTGAGCCACTGACCCTTTGCCACATCCTGGGCTTCAAGTTCAAATTTTACCAGGTAAGAATTACAAGAATGTGTTAATAAATGTGCTGTGCTCTACTGGGCTAGAATGTGCTCAATAGCATAAAATGTCTCATATTTATTTTCTCGTCTGCTTTTGTCTTTCAAAACAATGTCAAACAATAATAATCATTTCATTAGTCCAATTTCTTTAAAAAAAACTTGTATTAGATTTTCTAATGGTAATAATGAATTATATTTTGTCTTTATTCAGGAGCCCAATGAGGAAACCCCAAAGTCACTTTATCACATTGCTGCTGCTCTGCTTCACCATAACCTGATAGAGCTGGAAGATCTCTACGTACATGTAAGAAAGAGGAGCAGATCTATAGTTTATATATCTAGAACTCATTTGTTTTTTTACTTAAATATTTGGTCTTTCGTTGCCTCTCTTGTCATTCTAGCTTATGCCAGTAGATGCCACCATCGTAGAGGAACACAAACGGGATATCACAGAGGCCAAACAGATTGCCCGCAAGCTGGTCATGGTGGTGTTGCCCTCGGAGAAAAGTGAAGACAAAGACAAGGAGAAAGAAAAGGAGGAGGAGAAGAATGACAAGGTATCAAAGCATGTGAAAATATAAGCCTGTTCTGGAGGAATGGATGGATATGTAGTGGCTCTGCTGTGACTGCTTTACTTAATCCTTGACATTAAAAAGTACAAAGGCACTCAGTTGCTGCTCTTTTTCTGTGCTCACAGCCCCCTGATAACCAGAAGCTCGGTCTGCTTGAGGCGCTTCTACGGATTGGAGACTGGCACCACGCCCAGAGTATTATGGACCAGATGCCGTCCTTCTACGCTACATCTCACAAAGCCATCGCGCTGGCACTCTGCCAGCTTGTGCACCTGACTGTGGACCCTCTTTACAGGAGGTACTGACTTTTCATATTTCACCTTCTGCGCAGTATGTGTTGTCTGACCAGAAAGCATGCACAATTACCTCTTGTCACTAGCTGGAGCTTTCAACTTCTACCAATGCCAACATTTTATGAATGCAAATAAGAAAGCTACAAAAAGAAAATGCAGGCTCTGACAAACAGGTCTGTTCTTCGCAGATCGGGCCTCCCTAAAGGGGCAAAGGGGCGTGTAATTCACCCACTGAGGAACAAGCGGGCCCCTCGGCCTGCAGAGAACTTCGAGGACCTGCGCAGGGACACATTCAGCATGATGTGCTACCTGGGCCCGCACCTCTCCCACGACGCTATCCTCTTCGCCAAGATCGTGCGTCTGGGCAAGGGCTTCATGAAGGAGGTACATAAGTGTCACCACAAAAATGTTACATCTGCACTCAAGCATACATCTCCTTTTTCCAAAACTCATATTCTGTGTTGTTTTCTTCCCAGTACCAAATTGAAAACAGACCTGATGCCCGAGAGAAAATGGTAGGTTGAAAACCAATATCTGACTAACGCTGCTACAAAAAGAGAACTGTAGATACGCATTATAATATATGCACACATGGATGTGACAGGTGGTCATTTTGACTTCAAGGACCCAATTCATGTTGACTTTTTGCCCTTTTGCAGGAAACTCTATTGAGTTGTTTCCTGTGCATTGCAGACCAGGTGCTACTCCCTTCTCTTTCTCTGATGGAGTGTAATGCTTGCATGTCTGAGGAAGTGTGGGGTCTCTTCAAACTCTTTCCCTACCAGCACAGGTGAGACACACACACACACACACACACACACACACACACACTGAGACTGCCGAAGGCACACGAGGGGATAGG